CCAGAATAACTTCCATCAGCTCCTTTTTTGGCTACTTTTAGAAATAATTTGCTTTGTGATGCAACTGGAGTCCAACATTAGCTGCAAGTGGAGACGTTTAACAACAGTATCTTGTATGAGATTTTAACAGTGATTCCTGCAAATGTGACTACTGACATTTGAATGATTACCCAGACATGTGCATGATTTACAGTTGCCACACTTTACCACCCAGCCTGTTTTCCGCCTCGTTTAAGTGCTTCAGTTGGTGTTTACATGCCAAATAGTTGAGGCTTTCCATTAAATGAAGCTAAACTGGAGCACAACTGGCACCAGAGTAATTAAACATGGCGTGGTAGCAAAGCGGTAGCTCCGCACAACTTGTCTGCGCTTAATGGTGAGCAATAAAACTGCCAGACAGATGAATAGTACAATAGAACAGAGGACGTGCAAGGCGGGGAGAGAAGGGGGCGACGTGTGGACATTTCTTCAAATACCCCCAGCGAAGGTTCCCGTAACCGCAGCCACACACGCGTTACATAACAGAGACCTAATGGTCTGTAAAAGTTGAATATTAATGCTGGTACAAATATGCATGCTATTGAGAGAGGGGTGTCTGCAAGCTTGACTGGTTTTTAAGTATTAGACAGACCTGCTCCAGTCGGTCCTGCAGGATCTTAAAGGACTGAGACAGGTCCCGTGTCTGTCGCCAAGTCCACGCCGTAAACAGCGCGCTGCATGCGGCCAGGGACAGAGCCACCAGGGCCAGAGAAGCCCAGACGACCCGCAGCTTGCGCACTCGTCTCCTCTGCAGAATCCGATGCATGTTGGTGCAGACTGCACTATCACTCACCACGGCAGACCATCCGAAATCCGCACTTCAACTCCATTCCAGCAGAGCATGAAGTCCCTACAAATGCGTTTCTGTCCAAATGTCCATTTCAGCAATAAAGATGCGTAAGAGGACGGCCTAAAACCAGCATGTACTGCTTTCAGACGGGCAGATCTGCTGTGTAATTTTCACTTTATGTGCCATATGAAGGGTGTTAAAGCAACAAATCATCCGAGCCTTCCTCCGCACAAATCAAAGCCACCATCCTCCGTGAATCTGCAAAGACAAGAAAACTGTGCAACTTGTCCACATCAACTGTTGCATCCTTCTCTCTGTGATTCGTTGACTCAGCTCTCTTGTCTTCCCTTTTAAATTGCGTGCTGGGGGGTCACTCTATTAGACTGAGCACACGTGAGCGTGAGTTTTCACTCTCAGACTTGGAGGTGAACTTTCCATGCGCCCGCAGCGAGCTGCGATGTTGTGACATCAGCGGGCATCTTCCGTAAAAAAACAGCGAGGTGAGCACAAGGAAAAAAACCAAAACATACGAGGCTCACTGGAGCTTCTGCTTCTCAAATCGTTTCATCAACTTGCATGCCTTGAAAATATCCACCGTGCACGCTTGTAACAGTTCCGTTGACAACCACACGGTGGCTGTAGTGCATAGGCAAAAGCTTTGCTCTGATGATGATGATGAAGGATACTGCACAGTATCTGTACCAGCAATAGACTGACAGTGGTCCCACTGCCTTTTCCCAGACAAGCAAAAATTGTTTGGCAATTAACCTCTCCGGTTCTGAACAGGAGACAAATTCCTTGTGTGTAACTTACATAGTCAATACATTTGATAGATTAATAAAAGCATTGATAATTAATTTAATCCAAAAGCATCATATATATATAAAAATGTGTGTGTGTTTTAGTATAAAGTTTCACGTTTGTAGGAGACAAATTAATTCATTAAATGTCAGAAAATGTGCTGTAGTTTGCTGTAGTACCCGATTACACCACCAGGTGGTGCCACTTCTTGCTTGATGAGATGGAGTTTACACGTTTACAGTATTTTCATAGTAGTTTCATGTTTTTATCATTTATGCTTTCAGTTCAAGTGTGAATAATTCTGACATGTTAACAGCTCTGAAAAAATATGTGCATTAATGCTGGAAAATGATTAATAACTCATTTTGGATAAATTTGCTAACGCACCAGGACAAATTTGAAGTGGACTCAACACATTCATGCAAATTGCAGTCAGACAGATTTTATTCCTCTGATTGGTGTCAAATCCTGAACAGTGCAGTCAAACAAGTAAATAATAAAACACTCTCGTAGTGTGAAAGCCTAAAACATTTTAATGAAATCAATACTGTGCAGGTTCTGGGATTCGATCCCGTGAAGCCCTTTTAATACCTCTGTAGAGGAAGTCCTAAATTCATGGGGTTCCTGTAAAGAAGCACCAGTGACTGCATGTAAGTAACATGTTAAAAGACACTAACACCAGCAGTGAACACACCATCTTAGCATATGAATGTGGGGTAACACACTGAATGACATCAAAGTTGTCTATTTGTTCTGACAGTGCACAGTACTTGCAGTACACATAACATTTCTTTTCTTGTCTTAAGTTGCTCTTTAAAGTTGCTCAATTTATTGCGGAGGTCTGAGTGTGGATTTGGCAGGAATTGGAGTTGAATCCCTGATTTGCTTTTGAAACAGTCTGAGGACTCCATGTTGGGAACGGAGTTAGGAGTTGTGTAACTGATAACTCTGAATATGGCACTCTGATGGGAAGTTGCAGATCAGGGAGGATATAAATATCTTTTCATGTTTCCTTGGACTCTTGGTTTTTGGGCCGTGCACAATATCAGTGCATAACTTAATTTTCCATATTGACAAAGTCTACATATTTTACACATTGAAGCACATGTATATTTAAAACACAATGTCCCAAAAATGAAAAGAATGAATAAATAAATAGATGACCCGAAAGTTCCTCATTCAATTGTTCTCTAAAGAATGAAAAAAAGTACAAGTTGCAAAACTTAGAAGGGCAAATCAGTGGTTTTTTACTTGTTTAGAGTGAGAAAACAAAGAAAATACAACCCACAACTCAGACTGTTTTCATTAAATGGCTGGAAATGATACAAAATGTCCTTTTTTCCCAACATAAAACTGGATATAAAACAGAAGTGCAGACAGGAACTGTGCCACTTTAATTTTAGCTGGACAGGTTCAAAGCCACAGACTGAGCCCAGTCCAAGATTTTCTTTTATTTGTCAAATTCCACTAGATGGATTGTTTTTGTTTGAGTCTAAGCTTCATCCATTTTTGTTTAACCAGCCCCAGGAGTGTCCAGTTTGGCTACATTGACAGTGGTTTTGGGTTGAGTCCTTCAGACTGCTTTGGTGCACAATGCCATCACTAGAACTCTATGTGCATAACAGAAAGAGAACTGTGCAAATACCAACGCTGTGCTTCAGCTTTGCACACCCTTTGGTTGCTGTTGTCATAGTTTATCATAAATTTAAAGGGACAGGATACTCAGAACTCACTTTTTACATCAGTCATACACTGAAACCATAGACTGTATATAAAATTGGATGATGCGTCACAACTTCCTGCCAAACTATTGCCTTCTTGCTTTTGTGATGCAGCTTTCAACCAGACTGTGTGCAGTAGTGACCAGCAGTGGAGTCATGGTATCAGGCTGCCAATCAAAGCTGTCAAGTTATCCAAAATACACCCCTTTTATATTATGTAACTTGTTTAACACAAGCTTGTAAGGAAAATGATCATTGATACATAAATCTGTGATATCTACCCAAAATGACAGAAATTACCTTTAGAATAAACATTTGATTTTTATTTTTCCACTTGTCCCATCTACTAATATGGAAGGGGCAGGGTTTATGACCTGTACGGCCACCAGGGGGCGACAGTTTTGAGGTGGCTTCACTTCTGGGAGCTCTCAGGTCATCCATCTTTATATAGAATCTATGGTTCAAACAAACACCCTGGTTTTGCAATTTTTCTGGATATTTGTGCAAAAAATTGATTTCATTCCTGGATGACAAAGTTTTGAAACCTTAGGTAAAACTTTCACAAGTATTACCTGGTTTATTACTAGGTTAAGGCTGGGCCAGGTGCTCCAGGGCCTCTCCTTCACAGCGCATACAGTGGAAGCCAAAGTTAGCCGTGATATCAGAGCAGCCTTGGCTGACGTAAAAGTCCACAGATGGTTTGTTCCAGTCTAGAACGGTGAACTTGAGGTTGCTGCAGCCTGCAGCCAGGCCCAGCTATGGGACAGCAGAATTAAACAGACAGATATGAGTACTGCTGTGCCGACATGAGTGATGGAAGATTCTGCTCATGCATACAAGCTCCAATGCCACTGGAGAAGACCTCTGATCTCCTTCGTTCAACATGTACAATACATTTATATTTTTGAACTGTCACATATAAACAAGATGAGATGAGGTAGATGTTTTACCCACCTGTGCTACCTTGCTCATAAGTGCTTTACCAATGCCCTTCCCTGAAAGACAGATGCCATGTGTTACTAAAGACTTCCTGCACAAATGGTACAGATGCTTTTTAAAGCTACATTTCTCTAGGCCATTATCACATCTTATATTGATCGCATTACAATTAAGAGATTATTATTTAGCTTTAGCTAGGAAATAATGTGCCCCACTGGGTCCTAAGGACTCTTTTGCAGGGGGGTTATTTGTTATTCTGTGACAGTGTACCGTACCTCTGAACTCTGGCATCACATACAAGTCCTCCATATAGATGCCCCGGCCCAACCAAGAGTAGGAATAGAAGTAAAGTGCATAGCCTATCTTTGTATGGCCTGAAAGCAAACAGTCAAAAATGTGAAATCTGGAAAAATGGGAGGTGTTAACTAAAATATTTTCCATATCACTTAAATAATCACAGCATGGCTTATTGTGTACTTGCAGCTGCATATAAATTCTTAATATGTTTTGAATTTTACATGCTATTGCCATTCAGGACTGTCTCCTCACTGTCTGCCTTGTCACTTGACATTGTGCTGCTGTAATTCTGCCGTAGAGCTGGGACTCATTAGTCAGTAGCTTTGGACTGGTGGTTGTGTTTGTTGTTGCTAGGAAAGATGATGTGTTAATTTGTTTTGAGTCTCACTAGACTCTCTAGTGGCTGAAAGGAAATGAGTTAATGCAACCTGTAGGAATCACCACCACAGATTTTTGTCTTTCTTTTATTCACTGTGGTTGTTAGGTTGATTTGAGCGTCACCATCCAATCCTGCACCCTTTCATGCAAATATACTGCTTGGTTATCTTACTCAAGGAAAGTGGAGGTGCAGTAGGGCATCGCCCTCACAAACACACAGGTAGCCATTCCTCATTATGGAGCTAGATATCTGGGGCCAGTGGAGAGTGGACAGTGGTGGCAGCCTTGTTATGTAAATGGTATGTCTAGCCAGGAGTCACATCTGGAGTGAGCCTATTACATTAGGGAACAGAGAACTATCACATTGGCAAGGTCTGACCTCAGTTTTTTTTAATGTAAATTATGGGGTTAATCTGCTCTGACAAATGCTGCTACGCAAGTTCTGGCCTGACACTTTGAAGCATGTTACACTTCCAGCCACAGTCCATACAGTGAGGTCATAACAGGTTTTTCCTGTGAGGAAAACACAAACTGTTACATCCCTGATCAGAGAAAGGCTGGGGACAGCAGCACAGGAGCCATTTTCTACCAAGTGTGGTGTTAGGACACTTTTTTTTTACATGATCTATACAACTCCATCACAGTTGTTGGCTGGTGTGGGATATCGGTCAGTGAAGGATGGTTGTCGCTCACCGTCTTGGGTTCTGTGTTGTTCTGCCACCTCAGCGATGATCCCATGGAAGAACGGGTTCTTGGAGAAACCATCCTGCTCCAAGTCTGTGTATGAAAAACAGGCTCATGAAAAACATGATGTTTTCACAGAGAGGTGACGGCCTCTTTTCACTGCTCTCAGGCCAGTAGCTAAATCTGAGGACACCAACAAGTCATTTTAGATGCAACATTTTTCCACCACAATCAAACTTTTTTCAACCAAAATTTAAATTCTAGCAGGCTGGAGTTGTTATTTTACAGAGTAGCCTCAGCACATCCGAAGTATTCACACAGTACCTTTCTGTGTGACTTTCACAATGTCTGTCTGATTCTCATATTCAGCCAGTTCCTGAGGAAAAAAATAAAAATAGCAGCAGTTATTACTATTTCTTAATTATCACAGTCAAACAAATGACCATGAGTGTCATTTCTACTCATTTGGTGAGTGTGCACGCTCCAGTAAATGCATTTTCCCATAATATCCCAGTAACCCATCTAGCAACACTGTGTATATTTAGTGATCTACTGATGTGAGATGGAGTCACTGGCTGCTGAATGTATGAGTTATAGCTTATACAGTTGCACTCGTCTGCTCACCATGATCATCCGTGCGATGTCCTTACAGTCCTCCATGTTGGCTGCACGGATAGAGAAGTCCATGTCTGATGTGCAGAGAGCCGCGGATGGCTATGATGAGAATTCACAATAGGATGACTGCAGATGTCCTGCAGACTATAGACCGGAACAATAAAGCCTCCCGAAATAGACTGTAAGATGAGCTGAGAGTGCCCTTCTCCAGGATAGAGGCTTCCAGGAACCGGAGTTCACGTCACGATGTGATTTGGAGGATGCGTTTACTAAGTGTCGATTTTAATGCATGTCAAAAGCAGAGGATCCCCAAAACCAGGTGTGTGTGTGTTGTGATGTGATTTTCCAGGCGGCAACTGAACAATGGGTCATCTGCGCTGCAGACCCCCTATCTGTGTAATCCTATTACGAGACAGAGCAGGACCTCATGAATATAAACACTGTAATCTATTGGGGCTCTTGTAGTGTTTGTTCTTTATTTTTGAATCCATAACATGTAGGGAGTGGGTTGTTAGGACAATCTAAATGCACTTTTAGACAGTGCTAGGAGATCCATTATTGATTAGGATGTAAAGCACTTGACTGACAGTTTATTAGGTACACCAAGATAAACCTAAATCAGTATAACCCCCCCCTTCATGAAGGTGATGTTGTTCAGAGAGTTTACAAAACCACTTTCCACTCCATATGAAAATCCACCACTGCTGGGAATCAGCTTCCCATGTGGACGGAAAACTTCCTCAAAGGATTATAAAACATCCTTTGTAAAGGGTTTATAAGTTACAAATGTTGGCTTAATTACTACTGAGCAAATCATTTACTAATATCTTGGAGGAGGGCATCTGTGGCTGGCATTTATCCTCCTCCACAGTGATCCTCTAGGGGGCCTCAGGGCGCAAATATTCCTACACACATACAGTGATATCATCTGAAATAGCAAGGTATTAAAACTTGCTTCAAACAATACACGGCCTCAGTATCAGGTGAAATGTTGGCATAGTAGCAAACACATTCACTGTCCAGTGTACAACAAGCCACACATGTGGCCCTCTGTCATGGAGAACAGACCCAAAGGGGCTTTTCACAACCTAACTTGATGTATATAGTGTGTTTCTAAGGAACAGAGAACAAAACGGTAACACAGAGTAAAAAGATCATTAATAAATAATTTAGTTACAACTTAAATTCCCCGTTAGGAGGTGGTACCTAAGATTTTTTTTGAGGTTGTGCCATGTGTCTCATTTGCTGGTCTACACAGCCTTTGACATGTTGTGGTTTTATTTTACTCATGCAAACAGAAGATGTGTCAAAGTTTGTCTTTTTATCATCTAAACCATAATTGCATAGGGCTGTGATTAGTGTCATTTTCCCAACTTTTATAGTTAATACAAAATATAAACACTGATTCTGGGGCAGTTCAAAGGTAGGCACTACTATAGTCACTCAGTTATTTACTGTATAAACTAGGCTCATTTAACACAGAGTTTCTATAGGTTCTATTCAGAAATCATCTAAAAGCTAAAACTGACTTTTACAGAAGGTGTCAATACTGGACACACCGTGTGGCCTCCATTTGTGAGCCTCAGTGCCAGAAATCAGTGCCAGAAATAAGTATGATTTCACACACAAATAATGGCAAGTCCCCACAAAGTTAGAGGAACTGAGAACGCCTTGGTGAGTGAAATGATGCACCACAGAAAAATGACCTCATGAGTGAATCAATGGGAAATACTGGGTGAAAAATAAGACCAGAACAAATAAGCAACCCCTAAAATAGGGTCCCTGTCACTTCTCACTTGATTATTATTTTAAATTCAGTGTACTAAGATGCTTATAACGACCTTACTGCCTTTGGTTATTTACTGTATGTGTTGATTCTATACACAGAGAGCAGTCACAGTATAACTAAGAGACTGGTGCTCGGGGCTAAAAATATATTTTGTGAACGATTTGTCAGGGTACATGACGTTTTGCAGAGCACAGGGTGGGGAGGAAATGAGCAGAGAGAAAGGGGATTTTGCCGGGCTGGCTTCACATGCTCTGTGGTCAGTTTTCACCTGAAGAAAAAAAAAAAAGAGGCTGTCTATGCAGCTATTAATAGCTCCAGCAGGTCGCTGGGGCTCTAAGACTGACTAACGACTCCCTTCATAGACGCACGAAGAGAAAACACAGCACTGCCATCCTTTTTAATAGCGGCCTCTCTGGATCTGCTGATGACGTGCGTAAGACGCTGCTGACACAGATGCAGTTGAGGAGTCACAGACAGTTAAAAACAGAAAAACGGTATTAGTCACCGGATAGTGAGGAGGAGAAAGGGGGCCTCTGGCTGGGTTCTTCACATCTGACAAATGCTACAGAAACTCTGGGAAAATGGTGCTTTGTATGCAAGTAGAGCACAGTTTTTCTCATTTTGATACTGAGTTCACTATATAATTGTTGTGGTAGCGAGACAGTTTCTGGGTCCCTTGAGCAAGGGGAGGGGGGTCCGACCTTGAAAAACATCCCAGGGTCACCAGTGATGTGTCCAAGTGCACCTGAGGCTGTATCTCAAAATCAACAATCAGTTGATGGCATATCTATTTTTAAACCATTCAAACAGACCACTCAAATGGTGCAATGAATGGAAATCATTCGAGTCATTTTTCATATCTTTTTGACAAAATATCAACAGTGGATTTCCAAAGGTTGTGTCATTTCAGGCCTCCAGAACATGTGTAGCAGAGCAGCTGGTGCCTGTCTACATCAGTCACACATGGGGTCACGGTTTGTTCTAATGTTACACAATTAAGCTTTAGACCTGTGAAGCTGACTCAATTTTTTTCAAATGCATGTTTAAAACAGACTGAAGATGAGTCTTATTTTATGACAAAACTCATCTGAAAGCTTTATCTTCCTGTCACTTGTTTTTATTTTATTCCAAAGTTGTCAAATTGCATATGCTCAGCAGCCTGTAAGCTATAATTACGGCCTGTTTTACAGCCACATTACATTTGGAGACTAAAGCAAACAAGGACAGAAAAGCTGTTTCAGGTCATTTCATTTCATAGCTGACTCTCAGGGGCAATTAAACTTGTACCAGCGGCTCAATAGAAGCCAAGTTGTCAATATAAACATCTAACATGAATTTTTAAATTGCTACAAGATCTTTTATTAATCAGCGCTGTAAAAACCATCCACAGTAGGCTATATCACTTTATTTTGTCATCATTAAATTTTTCATAAACTTTTGGATTCGGTGTTTCTTTATAGTTGAGAAAAGTTTGTGTTTCGGACATGCGTTGTTTTCACAGAATATGACAGGAAGTGGCATTATTACTTCTTCACTTGTCACCTACAGATATAATATTGTTGTTATTCACAGTATTGTGATGCAGGTTCATTCTAAGAACTTAAAACTTTCAGATTTTGTACCAGGCAGTTATTTTTTTCGTGTTTCTAGTCTCTGTGCTACGCCAAGCTAACCAGCAGCTGGCTGTAGCTTTTGATTTGACCTCATCATACTATTGTTTCACTGACTTCTTGAGAAAGTGGTTCCAGACGCTATTATTCAGACTCAATACAATCACATTTAATGGCAACTCTTTCATGCCTGTACAGGAAGCCACCTCCTCTTCCTGTTTAGTCTAGATGCTGATTGGCCCCTGAGCTCAGGAGCATTTCCCCACAACAAAGCAGGCAACACTACATTTATCAATATCTAAAAAGAGATAAAAGTGACATAAAAGAGTCAAGACAAATGAGGACCTTCTGCTTTAACTTTCCTCCCTCCCTCATACAGCTGCTATGTCTTCCATTTTTGGACATGTTTTTGCTTTCAAAGTAAGTGCCCTCCATAATTAGTAACTTCCCCCATATTATTCTGTAAATGAATACAAAGCAACGCCCAGCACAGGGAAAGCATTGTGACAAGCTATTCAAGGGCCTGGTCTCCTTTTATTCTGCTTGTCGTTCCCTCTGAGAATACAGTAGCCACAAGAGAGTCCAAGAAGTCACATTTTTTATTTATTATAGGATGTTACGGCTGTAATTGTCCCCTATTCCAGAAACTCTTAATCAGAATGCCAGTGTTTGGTCCTCCTGTCTAGCCTGCTCATGTTCAGTCTGACAAATAAAAAAAGGAAATTAGCTCATCAGCAGACTGATGTAACCGTCATGTAAAGATAACTGGATGAGGAAAAAGGCAGACAGGGTGTCATTCCTTGTGCTCCACATAGACCCATTGACATGCCTTTATTAGGACATCTACAGCCAGTGGTGTATGGAAGCAGCCAGGCTGGCAGATGTTGCTTTTTGTTTTGGTTTGTTCTGCTTCTCATAACTTCCCTCAGACATTGAGTCATGTGATTCCTGCAGAGGTCAGGACACTTTCTTGCCACGGGACTCTGAGTGGGCCATTCAGTAAAAAATTAAACAACACTGAAGGTTCATTGTCAGTAAAGATAAATAGACAACTAGCTCCAGGTTGTGTTCAGTTAACAGTTACTGGATGAGGTGCAGCGTGTCCGGGTTCACTTTCGGTAAGATGTTGGCAAACATCAAATCTGTGCCATCAGCCTGAGATAAATTACTCCTATTCACTTCTCAAACAAAAAGTATTATTTACAGGCCTCATATTTTTGTTCCTGTGATAACATCTCCATTAACCCCCAAACTTCCCCTTTTTATCCCAGGACTGCACCTTGAAAAAGGTACATTTCCATAGCCTTAAGAGCAGGTCAAAACTGAGGTTAGCCACGTTTACAGACAACTCAGACTGGCGTATAAACGTGTAGCTACTGTAAACATGCAGTACATTTTAATGACTGTCAAGCGTATAATGCTCCTTCTAGGCTTAGGGCTACTGTGCACATAGTAATCTGTCTTGCATATTTGCACACGAGTAAGTACACAGATTACTGCTTTCTGATATGGACCTTAGGAAACATGGAAACATAACCTTTCTAAATGCATCCCAGGTTGTTTGTTGTTGCTGATATCAGCAGCTGACAGGCAGTAAAAATGGAGCCAGGCTTTTCCCTAGAAATGAGACCATGCAAGGGTAAGGAAGTATTAACAAAACGTTAGCTGGCGGTGTGCTCCCACACCTTTCTGACATGGAACTGAAGGGGGTGGGATGGGGGGTCGGCTATGCTGAGATGACAATGGAGCCAGTTTTGGCACAACAAATTCTATTAATTTGCCTCCGAGCAACCAAATGTAACACTATGAATGTTTTCCAGAAGAGAATGAAGATTTGTGCCATCGTGCTCAGATGATATGTGCGCATACTAAGTCCACGTCCATGTTAGCAGCTCTCTTGGTGATCTGCTTAGACACAGTAGTGCTTCGGGCTAAATGCTAATGCTAGAATGCTAACATGCTCTCTGCTGATGTTTGGCAGGTTACCATTTTAGGTTAGCATGCTAACAGCAGGCTAACACTTGATAGACAGCATTAAACACAAATGTTTTACTGGGTTTGCCAGAATTTGGCCTTTAATGAAAACAACAACAAAATCAATTATTGACCTAAATAAAGTTAATAGATTGCTCCAGTTCATCCTCCCGATAACATGATTGTCTGTACCTAATTTCAATTTAATCTATCTAATAGTAGAACGATTTCACATAAACACACAAATAACACCCTCGTGGTGGTGCTAAAGAGAAAGTCGAGTGATAATTAAAGTCAGTAGAAATTTTTTTTTTTTTGGACCATGAATGTCTGAACAAAATTTCATATCAATTATGCATTATTTGACATCGCCATGCCAAGAGACACACAACTAGGGAAAAAGTAACAAAGGGGAGGGAAATTATAAGGAACGACAAATAAAGTGCAGTTCCTTGATTTGTTTACAGTTAAACATTTCACTTAACGTTTAAATGCTTGCATTTGGTTTGATAATTTATATTTTAATACCCTTGCAGAGGCTCTAAAACAAACACTTACTGTATGATGATACACTTTTACACAGGAATTTCACATTTTTAAGCACCTGTTGTTTCTTCAGTGTTATCTAACCAGTACCCTCGTGTTCACAAACATAAATAGACAAAGGGTTGTACATCGGCTGCCCAAATTCCCGTATTGCAGCTTGTGAAATACATGTAGTACATCTGAACTCCACATACACAGAAGCACATAAACTGCTGTAGCAACATCCTGAGGAAATCGCCTCTCCCTTAAAGCTTATGTTGTAATGAGGCATCAAAGCCTGGGCTGCAGCCAAAAAGTGGTTGTGTGTTTGTGAGATTAACTAGGATTTTAAGTGGCAGTAAAACTTCTCAGACTATCAAATCACAATTTCTGAAGTACTTTAGAATTTATCAAATCTAGAGGTCTCTCGGTTTCCTTTCTTTTTCCTTCTTAAGAAATGTCCTCAAGTTTAATTCTTTTGAATTTGAAACAAATAACAGGAAAACCTGACCATGAGGCCAGAAGATAGAAGGAACCCCCACCGACGACTTTGCTTCTGAGTAACTGAGCCATTTCCTTCCATGAAATTCGAGGTGTTTTGTTCCTGTTCTGGAAGGTGCAACCAGGGAAGGGGATAAAGACTTGGATTTACATGCCTCTCTTACTGTTTCACAAGAAGACCAACATCCCTTTATTATCTTTACTCTGACACTGCTCAATATGAACTTGTAATCGTGACCATTATGCACAGGTGTGAGTTCTGTAATCCACAAATTCACTGGCACTGCAGCATACGTTCGGACATAAACAGAGCATTGGTTGTCTTCTGCTATGCTTTGTCATGGAAAAGTAACATCACACTCACAAAGCATGTAACCACTCGAGACAAACACACCCGGTGCTACTGTAAGACCTGAACATGGTCTTGGGGTGTGTGGTATTCAAGTAAATATTGTAACAACAAAAACCAGTATGACTAGAAAAGCAGGGGGGAGAGAGAGGCTGACAAAAGGACACTACAGGAACAACCAGATATGTGAAAAGGTAATTTAATGGTTTGGGCCATGACTAATGATTTTCTTGAGTTTCTTATATTCAGGATAGACGTAGTAATGACTATCATTAAATTTATTATGCTGCTGTTGTGACCGTTTTTTAAGTATCTTGAAGGTCTGACCTCTCTTTTCTTATTTGACTCATGAGGGATTGTTCTGTTTTCATAAAAACAACAAAAATCAATATGGTGAGATTTGTTACCAGTGTCCAGGCCAAGATAGTAGCAATAAGCTAAAAACATAAATGGGATAACACAATTTGTGTTATCCCACTAGCGTGGCTTAAAAATGATTGGCAGGTCTGATCATTATTATATGAACAGTTCATGACATTCTTCATGTGCAGGATGCAGGATTGTAATGTGCTTTTTGCTTCAGTACAAAATGCTGCCTTCACTGTTGACAAGCCTAGATACTCATCAGTAAATGCCTTTGGCAGCTGATTTATAGTTATTTAGAAAAAGGGAAGCGTGCATAAAGCATTTCTATCATGAATTAATGAATGATTTAGAGTGCCGTTATACTTCCTAAATGTTCTGTTGTGCTTGCAACAGTAGCAGCCTTATAAAACTGTCTTGTAAAGATGCTGTATCGCAACCAAAACCGAGGTCACACCCTCATAAATATGATGGCAGCTCTTCTAAGAAGCAAAAAGAGTAACCTGCCAGATAGCTCAGTAAACCTGCTTCTTGGAACAGGCCTTTGAGGCTGTCACAGGGTGACGGTATATACATGGCACTAGATGAAAGGTCGGGGATTGCTAAAATTATTATACTTTATTCTGAGGGCTGAGAATTTCATGGCATTCAAATGTTAAGATTTTTAACAGAATTAAAAGAAAGGAGGAAAGTTAGAGCTATAAACTACACAGCTATACAAAATTTGGTGCCAGTCCACCAAATAGATGCTGATCTTTCACTGAATATGTTTCATGGACAAACCTGAATGGGTTGAATAGTTCTTTCTGTCTATAGACCACTGTATGATACCAGTGTGAAATGTTACAACATGTTCTCACATGCTCACGACCTGCAGCTGCACCCCTGCCTATGCCACAGTTCAGATACTGACTGTTCTAGAGGAGGGCGGGCGCCTGACTGAGATGGTCCATTATGTCACTGGTGCCCCAAGAATGGTTCCAGTGTGCCCGTCTAGGCACTGAGGCAGGTGTGACGTCCAGAACTTAACTGTTGTTGGGAGAAACCCAGAAGAAACAGGGGCTCTACTGTTTCTTCTAGTCAGGCACACCCAGCCACATGCACACATATACAGATGCAGACACATGGAACTGTTTTAACGTTTTCCTCTGCCACTGTTCAGATTGGCCCATGAATAAACACTAGAAGCAGATCTGAACCAGTGAGGCCAGCAATCTCCATTAGAGACTGGCTATGACGCAATGCCATGGCAATGAGAGGTAGTGGGTTTCAGATGTTTCCTCAGTATGGTATTGCACATGTACTTAAAACACAGTGAAACTCTAAATTGGAGTAGCATGTTGTTGTCACGGCTTGAATAACCTTTTAAACATTTTCACTGGTCTGGTGAAGTTAAAGATATAACTTAGTGTCAATATTTATTCTCATAAAGCTTCTTAATCAGAGGCAGAATGTAGTGAATTGATTAGTCTAGACAAGTAATGGCAAATTAAATGATTAATATGCAACAGATTTGTTAAATAACTAATATAACTGAGCACATTCATGCTGTTTTTTTTTTTTGTTTTTTTTTTTTAGATGTAACATCTTAACATACAGTGGTGTGCTGTTAGGCTGGCCATTATGATGTCCAGTCAGTGTTCAGACCAGCAGAACTTTATTTTAAATTGTAGCGGAGACACAAATGTTTCCAAAAGAATACCAAATAGGTTAGGCTTTTTATTATTATTAACTCAATACAGAGGTAAAGTCATGACCATGTTAGGTCACTACCACAACAAACACATTAGCATCCAGAAGGAAGAATGCCTCATCTGAATCAAACTCGAGTACTTTGGCTGCTTTTAACACTCTCATCTCAAAAAGCCTAAATGTTGTTAACCCTGATTTTTTGCTCTTTCTTTGTCCCACTCTCTCTGTGCAAAAGAACACGACCTCCTCAGTCTGGCAGCCACTGTTTGGACTTTTCACTGACAAGAGGTCATCCATGGCTCCAAAAAAACGCCTCTAGTAACCTTCGCTAGGTGGGAGATGGGGCTAATTTACAGACTTGATATTGATAACACAGGGTAGAGAAGCTGGGATAACAGCAGAGGGGTTGTAGCTGGCAGTGTCATGGAGGAGGGTAGTATAACAATTTTCACTGGGTTTATCGATGTGTACATGCAGTCTTAGTCTGGGAAAACATTACATTTGCTTCAGTGAGGAGCCAATGTAGAATTCACAGTAACTACTTAAGAGGAAACAGACTGTTAAAACAATCATAGGGATTAAAAATGCAGCCTTTGTAAATATCCCCCCCAAAAAAAACTTTAATGCCAGTAAGTGAAGAGACAGGTCAGTTGTTATCCGATTGGCCATTTACTCTGAATCCCTCTTCTCACGTAAATCAACGTGTGTGACGTGCTCGCGCCTACGCTGGTTAAAACGGTCATCCCGCTGAGCTCGAGCGAGTCACTTGAGTCCCAGTCATCGAGCGGAGGAGGGAGAGCATGATTCAGTCCGCACATAAACTACCGGAGCCTGCGTCCGTCACACCGCCTGTTTTTGTTTTATATTACGAGGAACACGGAGCTCAGAGCACAACCTGGATGTGAACGTGCAGGAAGCGGCCGGTGTGTTTAAACGGATCACGGGATTCACATGAGGCGCACGCGGACATCGTTTGCACCAAACTGTGACCAGGTAAGACTTAGAATAACACACCTGAAATAAAATGGAATTGAACTGTTTCCCCACTAAACACTGTCAATTTAATGTTTTGGCGGTTATTTCTGAGATTGTACGTTTAATAAAGTGTGTTTTAGATGTTCCAAGTAAACATAAACCGGTCTGTAATTCAGCATCAAATTAACATGTAATTTCTCTCTCAACTGCATTTTATTATTATTTAGCTAGGTTAGGATGAAACATTTACCTTCCGCCTCATATATAGCATGTTTTAAGAATGAACTTTTAATGTAGCCCTTTAGTTGACCCAACTATCTAATTAAATATATTTTTGCCAAACGTTTTAGATGATGTTTTCATCAAGAATAGAGGTAACTAGATGAACTGTTCGGATCTGGCAGCTCTTTCCACCACTCAGGAAACAGAAGTACATGTGTTTATTCAAATAACATTATTTCACTTTGTGACGTCTTGCATGAAGGAACCAGTTTTGTTCAGCATTCCTGGTTTATTGCAACACATAGGTGTCTGTTTTGTGTTTTCAATGCTTTTCCATGTTTGTAATCCACACCCACCTGTGGATTACAAGGGTATCTTACCTGTCTTTAGTGATGTGACACACACCAAGAAGCATGTCATTGTTTATAAGAGAAGTATTTAGAAAGGAATGCAAAGCTGTTTCCTGCACAGGGGATTGATTCACAATGGCCACCACCTTGGAGCAGTTGGTGGTTCTCTCTGTAGCTCACTTCTGAGGAGGGAGCTAGGATGTAGAAAGAATGGCCCAGAAAAGAGAACAGGGGGAAAAAAAAAATAAAGTGTAGCACAATGGAGAACGGGCGGTTCTATAATATTTGTAGGATGGGAGACAATGGGAGGCCAGATGCAGTTGCATAAGACTTGAGTGAGCAAGGTCACAGAAGCCTTTAAGTCCTCCAGTAACTAGTAGTGTGGCAATAATTGCTGGTTTTAATAGGTGGCATGAGGTTGAGTTAAAAGAAGGATTTGCGACTGTCTTTGTGTCACTTATGCGGTACAGTAACCGTCCATTGGTTTTGCCATGTTTCCAGTTCATCGATGTGCTTATACCAAAGGGCTGTACTTAAGGAGTTCACTGCTATGAGGACAAATCTTAAGCCCAAACATAACCACATATTTACTCACTGAGTGCGTCACTTTAGCTGATCCTGTTTGGTGGCCTCTGTTTTTCCAGTGCAGGTTGCGTTGACTGCTCATTCTTTCCCTCCTCAAGGAGTTGTAAGCTTGAGATTGCACAAAAGGTGTAACAAAGGAAGAGTTGCTTCATCCTAAGCTAATCCTTGGTGTCAAAATAATTCACTTCCTGGATGTAGCCTCTCCTTCTTCTTTTTGAACCTGAACACAGCTTAAGCATCTGTCAAACTCTCATGTATTCATGCATCTTTGAAATGGATCTCTAACTATCTTCACCTGCCTCATTTCAGATAAAAGCAGTGGATGACGCTACACTCCATTTGTAGACGAAAGGTGGAAGCGTGGGAGAGGTTCTGAAGAGGACTAGCTGACCAGCAGCAGTTACACAGCCACTAAAACCTCCTCCAGACCCAGCCAAAAACGCACCATGTCTCTCAACACTTTCCACCTCATGCAGACCCTTAAGAATTCCCCTGCCGCCTTACGTCACCGCTTTCGCCGCGACCGCACAGAGTCTTTGTCCCATGGTGATCCTCTTTTCAAAGTCCACTACCTGGGTACAGAGAAGATCTTCTCTCTGGATCGAGAGCAGGCACAGGATGCTATTGACCGCTTGCTAGAAGGTATTGCTAATGAGAAAAAGCTGAGCAAAGATCACGCTCTGGTGGTGCGTCCAAGATACGTCGAGGTCAAGGAGATAAGTACAGGACGGCAGCTCACTAAGACATTCCTGCAGGACATTGCATACTGTGCTGCTGATGCCAACCGGCCAAATGTATTCCTGTACATCTGCAAACATCATGGACAGCAGCTGCAGTGTCGGGTGTTCTGGTGCAGCCGGGCAGAGAGGGCACGAGACATGACTGCTTGTCTCGCTCATTCCTTCCAGCGGGCGTTGAGCGACTGGCAGCAGGACGGCTCAGCCACGCTGAAGCCAGAGGTGAAGGGGAAACATGCGGAGGAGACATCCAACTCTCCTGCCAACACAAAGAACTCGACTCTGCCTGCCAGTCTGGGAAAAGGTGAGATGACAATATTGCCTTCCAAAAGCAAAGGACAGTGCAGTTGAGGAAAAAGGGACTTAAAGTTGGAGAACTGTAGGGATGAGAAACTGGTTAGCTTTTAGCATAGCTACTTTAATCTGGTGTTGCTTTTTACTTCCCTTATTAGTAGACTTGGAGCCTTTTTTATAGACTATAACAAACTTAATTATCACAGTATTGCTGCATTTTTCAACTGCAGGAAACACAAAGCTATTGTTAACTTTATGATTGTGATTTGGATTTTTAGGGCCCAATGGAAAAATGGTTGTTGTTCCAGAACTTTTTTAACTTTCCAACTTCATTGCCCTTATCGTGCTCTCCGCTCTGGGTCTCTAAGTTTAAAAAGGGAAGACTTCTAAAGGTACTGACACACTGAGGCAAAACCAACTGCTGTAGTAGTAGTAAATGAACAGCCGCAGTGTGAAACTTTGGACTAAAGTTTGATGGAGGCTGTTAGGGCTGGTTTTCTATTCATAATTAATAATTTACCACCAGTCTTTTTTTATTTGCAACTGCCAGGCTAACATCACTGACTGTCTTTTCTTTTCAGTTCGCTGGAAGAAGAGGGGCTCAGTATCTCACAGCCCCCTCAAAGCCATCATCAGAAGAGGATCGTCCTCCGACAGCTGGAACTGAAACCTGGCTTTCTTTAGTCCTTCATGGAACCACATTAACCTGATGACAACATCAGATGACAGCACTGGAGGGAGGGAGGAAGGGAAGGAGGGAGGGAGGGAGGAGATGGGTACAAGAGGGAAGGAAGGACAAAGGGTTTGAAATTGGGAAGTGGGGAACATCCATATTTGGCCATATGGGGACTCTGCTTGTGAGATGATGTTGCTGAAATCTGTGTGTGTGTGAGAGAACTTGAAGGTTTTTTACGCAGCGAAGTTGTCTGCTGACTTTTTAGCAGCTGCTTTTGTTCGACTGTCAACAGCTGTGAGGACTTGTGACTGGCTGTGAGTCATTGAAGGACATGACTAGTTCATTTACGTGGCTCTTCTTTGGTCAGCTTACTTGTTTTAAAGGTGTCTACTAGATCCTTAAGCCACCAAAGAGTGTGGTCTTCTGGAAAGAGACAGTTGTGATGATCTGTAGGCAAACTGGAAAAAGACGATGAGAGTTCTGACTTTCGAAGATGGTTTTTATTTAACTGATATTTGTGGTCATGAATTTCTTTTACCCTGCGGCACTACCAAGCATGTTTCCCTTTTTTATTTCTGAAAAGGATGGACCAAAACACAGTTCAGGTCCTGTTAATACCAGTTCTGGCCAAGATTACACAGATGTCAAGATATGAGAAATGCAGGCATTTCAAACAAAAATGAAGTAAAACTGACTCTAGTCTATAATGCACTTTGTAGTTTTCCAACTGTAAAGTATGACTTCTGAAAATGTCAAACTCTGGAAATAACATGTTTCTCACCACATTTTAAGTGGTCATTTGCTTTTATGAATTGTATAACAGGCCCAGCACCTGTGTTATAAATTAAAAATGCCTCTGCAGGGTCAACGAAATCCCCTTATGTGCTACACATCTCGCTAACAAACACATCCTCACTGTTCAGAAATAAATTATGTGCATTTATGTGGGGGCAAGAACACAGCCATGACTTTGGTTTGTGTCTGGGGACACTGTGTTTCCATGTGGCGTCTCTGCGGGGAGCGTGCGGCCGTGCACCTGCATTCCAATAAGGGAAATCTGAGATGGAGAGTCTCCTTTAAAAGCCCCAAATTCTTCTCTATGTGCAACCATGACTTTGCATTTTGAGCAGCCTCATCAAAAGGTGCTACGGTGTGCTTTTAACTCTGGAGCTGGTGGATTGTTCACATTAACCAAAGCTATAAATGATGCCCTGACTACTTAAGTCTATTTAAAGTGACGGTTTTAGGCAGTGATATGTGCAGTATTGCATAACGCTCTCTCATGATGGCAATTTCTGTTTAAGGTTTATAAATGAGAGACTAGATGATTAGTGCTACACCTGAGGCTACTATTCACTTCTCATTTTGTTTTCTGACCACAACAAAGCTAGAGTTGCCTTTTTTTTAACAGGAGCGATGCCTGTGGTTTTTTTGACTGGTGTGCCGCTTAGTTTTTACCTGTCAGTTTTAACATTTTGTACTCGTGATGTATCTCTTACAAATGGCACAACCTCCATCTCAGAAAAGGGGGTAAAAATGCCTGCTTTAAGATGTATTATCAATGTACTGTTTTGTCAGTGTACATATTTAATTTAATGTTTTATGATATATTAAAAACTTTTATACAGCTTATTTGTTTTTGTGTTTTCATACTGTGGTGACTTTCAAGCCGACTTTGACCCTGGTAGATGATTCCAGGCTTTGAAAATGTTGTATTTGGCCTGAAGAAAACAGAATTCCTGTCTTAAGTGTGTGTGGGAGAGGAAGAGATTGAAGGGTGGCAGGGCAAGACATTCAGAGGTGACTCATTTCTCAGGGTTATTTTTTCCTGTTTTGTTTCAAAACCATCTGATACATACTACTTTCCAACTGTAGTACAGACACAGATAATGTTCTGACTGTGCAGCCTTGAAACAAACAGTACAGTGTGTGTGTGTGTGGTCAACATGAGTGCTGTGACAAGCTCTGTTCAGACATTTTGTTTGTACATGTTACAAACATGATGATTCAGAGGGTATCCTCTTTAACTGCATCCAATTACTGAAACCAAAGCACAAAGATCATAAAAAATGAACATTCATTTACAGTCATTCTAGTGAGATTTCACACTTTTTTTCGTAGAAGAAGTAGGTAAAAGTTCACAGAGAATCTCATTTTGAAGTTGATCATATACAAATGACCGATCACTCCTCTCCAGAAGAGTCCTGCACTGTTGGACTGCTGGCGATCCTGGTGTTTTCTCTGTGTTGCTGTAACTCCAGTAGGGACTGGACATGGAGACGCCTCAGAGGCTTCACCTCCTCTACAACTGAAAGAGGAAAACGGTGAAATCCTGAAAATCACACCTGATAACTTCCAAATTCAGATGTAGGGTGGGAGAACAGCTGTATCCCTTTGTAATGTAGCTAAACAGCACCACCTGCTGGCTGTAGTAATAACTGAAATCAAAAGTGGTTTGAAAATCCTGACTCCACCTGTTGTTCTCCATGACTCGTACCTTTGTCATAGTGCAGCTCGTCCCGGTTCCCGTAAACCACATACATCTCCAGGAAGTTTAGTAGACCCCCTGTGACAAGGAACCGGTCTGGGAGGGGAAGACTTTTGATGTAACGCATATCCAGGGCAAAAGGGTTGGATGGAGATGGAACGGTGCACAAACACACCAGCTCACTGATGACGTCCCACACACGAATACCTCAAAAAAACAGGAGAGAAAAGCTTCTTTCTTTTTTTTTTAGCACTTCTTGTAAATCTTTGCAGAGGTTGAACAGAATATAGTGTGGGTTTTTTAACACTAAGGCACCTAGAGCTTTTTTCCACAAACTTACTCCCCACCAAAGTAGTTTTTTTTTTTAAGAAGGTTAAACTCAAACAAAGACATCTGCATCTCATTTAGCTGATGGAAACTGGTGTAATTCCTGAATCTGTGCACCAAAACAATAACTTTCTCCTGTTTGGATTCCACACATTGTTTCCATACCTTGTGTCTGCCAGTCTGTAATGGACTTGAGTTTCATGGGAGTGTCCTTGATCATTGAATCAGTGCCTCCAATATTGACCAGGCGCTCGTGGTTGGAGCGTATCCAGGCGTAGGGGCGTCCGTACTTGACGTAGCCGGCCAGTAAAAAGAGAGTGCAGTTCACTTCCTGTTGAGGGACAAAGCCGGTGCTGTGTGAATGTTTGAGCAAGTTAATGATGATGTTGGAGGTTAGCAGAGGAACAGAACCGGCTTTCTGAACAATGTTTACATTGTGGTTTGCCCTGCAAACATAATCAAAGCTGGTTAGCACTTACAGGTACTGCTATCTCTCTTTCACTGGGAGATGCTGGGAGAAGATGTTCCTCACTGCTGGGCTCCCTACAAATACAGAAAGAGGTCAAGCAATGTGGGTTTTTTCTGTCACATCAGTTTAAAATTGACCAACACAGCTGTCACCAGACAACTGGAAGCTTACGCACACTCGTTTGGACCCTCTCCCATTCAGTTCAATGGGAAAGTGTTTGAACTTTTGGCTGGTAGTGCACATTATTTGGAGACAGATACTCGCACATAAAGGGGCATCAATTGCCTGGCATGGTGTGGCTTTGTTTTGGTGTGTGACTGGGTGTCTTGTAGGCCCAGAGGCTCCCCAGCCAGGGGAGAGCTGCTCTGACTGGCCAGGCTGGGGGAGCTGCTGCTGGGGGAGGCATCGCTGCTGTTACAGCTGCTGGTGGATGAGTAGGAGGAGGCTCTGGACACCACAAATCCTGGGGAACGCCAGCCCTGCATGGGGAGGGGAGGGTGACACAGGTCATTGATGTGCTGTAGCAAGCAGAATGTATAAAAGAACATTTATTCCATATCATGACTTGAACTATGACTCAAAAGTTTTCTCTCACCAGATCTCTTCCTAAAAACTGTAGTACTGGGCGTTTTTATTTGTTTTTTGTGTTCCTATAAAACACCTTCTGTACACTCACACACACACACACACACACACACACACACAGACACACGTATTTTATCTACAGAACTGACCAGATCTTCGTTGACAACTGTTAGCAGCAACTCCTCTTTTCCTCTAAGCCAAGGCTGGAAGTATTTAAAACCCTGTGAGGAAAAACAAAATAGTCTGCCTCAATTAACACGTTTAATCCTCTGTGCATCATCTCATTTCATGTCTAGTCACACCTGTAATGATCCGAGCAAAGCCATGTCGCTCAGAAAGTGCTGCAGCTTCCTCTTCTGCTCCATCTCTCTTTTCTATTCACACACATTCACAGATTGGAAATGTGTTAATATGCAAAGCAAACTACTGTAAGATTATTTCCTTCCTCCTCGATCTACAAATCCTCCAGCACCTTGCAACCCAGCAGCACCCTCCCAGTCTAGTGTCCTAGCAGCACATGCAACGCCCCCGCGCAGCATCTTGCACGCACCTCTGTCTATAATAAAGACTTGATTCGTTACGTTAGACCATGCAGATTAGAGAGAGTGCACAAACTGACTGAAAACGTGAGATTGCATGCAGCACAAAATGCATCAGATTGCTCTGCCTAAAATAAATTCCTCGGGTGTGATCTTAGTTCAAAATCCCATGTCTGATAAAAGAGTAGAGGGGAAACGCGGCTCACGGTGCCACTGCTCATCTCGATCCGAATTGCAGACAGCGTCGTCTCCTTCCCAGACGTGCACGGCGCGTTATGGCCACTGCATGTCAACACCAACGCCGAGACCCTGCTTGGCTGCCGATACACAAGCAGACAGGAGGTTTTGTTCTTCTCGGGTGTTGCCTTTTGGTTTATTCTGTCGGGTGCAGCGTGAACTTGGTTTGGTAATGGGGGTGTGACGCCCCTAGTGGCCGGGTTGTACATCTGAAATCTGGAACTTGGTGCCTGTCTTGAGTAAGATGGTCCATTTTACTTTGTAGTGATAGTGCAGCCCAAATCCCAGTGCCACAGTGATGTTAAATGGTGGTTAACATTGGTGGAAAGTAACTAATTACATTTACTCTGTATGATGCACAATTGTAAGGTTATCTGTATTTTGATTTTGTGCAACTTCATACTGTGACTTCACTCCATTTTAGAGGAAAATATTGGACTTTTTATTCCACTACATTTATTTTATAACTTTCTTTACTAGTTACTTTTCAGAACCAGGTTATCAGAAAAATGACAGAATAATCAAAAGACTTTATTGATCTCCAGTGGAAAATTCACAAGCTACCCAGTAGTAATTCAAATTATAAGCATTTATGCTGATTAAAACTGGCTTCCCTACCATGTCTTCATGGACCACTGGTTGAAATATGCAGCAGTACATCAATTATAATCAAATCTCATGTTATATACATAGTTAAATGTGCCCTTCTGCAAAGCTAACTGTGTGTCTTTATCTGTTTATTCCCCAGAGTAATATCATTCTTTTTATTAACATTTTATATCATTCTTAGCAACAACCATAGTTCCCAAAATGTTGAACCATAACTATGTTATTTA